GGCTCCTTCACCCAGGGAGAGAGGACAAGCCCCTTCGTCCTGTGAACTCCTGCCAGCTGATGTCGGTGTGCCCAGGTGTCTAGAAACCATTGCCGCTGTCTTCTGCTCCCTTTTCCAGATTTAGCCCTTTTCCTCTAATCCACCCTGATTGCCTCTCTCAGACCTTGCCTTACTGCCCTTTTGATCTCCAAATCAGAGAAAGGTCTACTTTCAAATCTCTCCCTGCTCCTGTTTTTCCATATGATCTCACACAGTAGGCCTCTCACCACCTGGGCAATGCAGCCCAACCACATTTCCGTGCAAACCTGCTGGGAGGAATCCAAACAGCACCCATTTCTCATCCCAGTCAACCCCTGGATCTCCAAACCATTGCCAATGGTGTTTCCACCACTTCCAGATTCTCCGTGAAGCGGGGCATTCCCACCACAGGTGTCGCGTAGATTCAAACACCCAACTGCATCGAGAACATTTAAGCTCCACCTGCATTCCTCTTCTAGTAAGCCAGACTTCTGAAGGTGTTACCATCAGGGATAACAACCACAAAATGGAGACTTGCTTACCGGTTGGGAGCTTTGCCAGCGTGTCCCACAGAACCCACTTTGGACGGGTCATCAGATGTCACGGCCTGCCACCTACTGATGGCCACTTCTGCAGGGGATCTTCTGTTGCCCTTTTCCAGTCTCAGGCTGTAACCTTTGGCCGCGGAGTACTCAGGCAAACGGAGTTAGGGACGTCTCGTTTCGCCTGTTGACCAGGTCCATGGAGCAGGATCAATGCACAGTTTCCTTAACGGGGTATGACCTACCCACACTCATTTTATCCTTGCTTCTGGAGTACCGGCAAGTCCCTCTAATCTTGCTTGTGGAGGGTTCTCCCAGGCCATGATAACAATCTCATTAACAGGGGACAGTTCATTTGTGTGACGTTGACAGTGCCACCTCTGTACTCTCCTGAACCCACTTGGCAGCACTTATAACAACTTCCACACTTCCTCTGTCCCCTCCCTCTCTGCACAATACCAGGTCCCCACGGGGTCGATCCCTTCCGGGCCAAGGAGTTTGCTCCACTCTTTTGGAATAGCCTTCAACAGTTGTCTCCAGTGTAGCTCCACGTTCCTCAGTGGACTGAGTAATTCCAGCAACTCTGCTTGATGCCTCCAAGCTCCCAGTAGTGGATTCGAAAGGTCGCCAATTGTTACAACCCCTTCCCGAATCCATGCTAAACCGAAAGACCCTGCCGATCCATCTGCCTTGCACCAGCTGCCATCTCCTTGAACTATCTGAGGGTATCGAATAAAAGTTGGGCCTGCACTTCCTCTTTCGTCACAGGCTGAGTGCGCCCATCTGGCGGTAAACTACTCTACGCTTTTAAGACTTTGCGCCAAAAGCGTGACTTCAGTTTCTTCCTCCGGAAGGATGGGATGAACATACAGAGTCGGACATCCTGTGGGTGGCTCAATCCCCATTCTCAGCCAGCTCCATCCAATGTTCCTTTATTGGAGCATTGGCCACTCTGACGAGCCACATACTAAGTTGAGCTTGGTTTTTCTTTGCAGGGTCTACCAGGTTCAGTCCTTCTCTTCGTGGGTAGGTCAGTAACTCCCAAGCTATCTTAATTAAGAAACCCTCTCCTTCCTTGGATTTCACATAATGGAAAACAGGGCGACATTGGCTACAAACGCTCTTCCAATAACTGACAGATGCTAGACTAGCCCCCAAAGTCGCAGTTCTAATGTAACCCTTTGCTGCAGAAGCAGACCTTCTGCAGAAACTTGTACGTGCAGGCTGACAAGAACACCTAAAAACCTCTCCTCCTCCCCTTCTTTGATCCTTTTCATCCCCCATTGAACATTCAAATTGTATTGGCAACAAGAAAACCGACTTGTTCCAATTGACAGTTGCCTCAAATAGGTTCGAATCTTCTATGAGAATTCCTTTCAAGGCGTTCAGAGAATCGCTTGAGTTCTCGCTGATGACAAAAGGGTCATCTGCAAGGGCTTTGACTTTACACTGAGTACCATTGTGCATGGCCAGGCCCCTGATAATCGGATTCCAGCGTATCCTGTTCAACAACACCTCCATCTGTAGCACGAAGAGGAGCGGGGCTAGGGGCAGCCCTGCCTGAGAGAATGTAAAAGCTTAAAGGACTCCGACAAATGCCCGTTAATCATCATTGCAGATGTCGATAGTGTGTACATTGCTACCGACCATTTGCAGAAGGATGTGCCAAACCCCATTTTTTTCAGAGTCTTGAACACAAAAGGCCAACTTACTTTGTCGTAAGCCTTTTCGAGGTCAAGTAGGAGGGTGGCAGTGTTCATGTTGTCCAACTGCACCAACTCCAAAACTTCTAAGGTTGTGACAATGTTATCGAAGATCGACCGATCACAAACGAACGTGTCGTGGTCTCCCTCCACCAAATCTGGTAAGTGTCTCCCTAGTCTCCGCGCCAAAGTCTTTGCCAGACTCTTATATGATACATTCACAAGCGAAATAGGTTGCCAATTCCTGACCTCTGTCTTGTCCCATTTCTTTAACAGCATGCTAATTACCCCATGAGTCATCCCTATCCCCAAGCGCCGCCTTCTAAGATCTGATTATATAATTCTACTAGCCTAGGGCCCATCGAGCCCCAAATAGCAGTGTAAAATTCTACAGTAAGGCTGTCGATTCCTGGGATTTGCCCTTCGCCATAGACTTGACTGTCTGAGGCAATTCTTCCAAAAACACCGGGCGATCGAGATCCAACCTAGCCATGTTGGACAGTCTCAGGTTCGTGTCCTCCCACATATCCAAGTTGACTGAGAGATCTGTTGTTGGATTTTCATGTGGGCGCCTCAAGGTGAGTATGTGTTGCATACTGTAACGGTGCAGACCAGAACAAGAACCGACCTCTCAATACAAAGTACAAGATAGCGCAGCGGAAAACTTAGATACCAATGATCCGAACAATCAATATTGCAATGCAGCCCCGAACATCCATCATCATCATCATTCCATGGTGTGAAGGGGT